TTGAACAAGAAAGTGATGTGCAATGGATAAACCATGACGTCTGCATAGATCAAGCATACGAAAAAAAAGTTCACCTAGGCAATAATTTTCCTCAATAGTGTAATGCAGCTTTTCTAATAATGTGGTAAAGCAGTGAAGCCTTGACACTAAGTTCTATGAGATTTTCAGGACTAGAGCAAGGATCATAGAGGTTAAATATGAATTTCTGGAATGTCATTTGTGTTTATAAAAGTTCCAAGAATCCATGGGAATCCGAGATTCTCATGGGAATTTCGAAAATTCCAAGGAATCCGGGATTTTCATGGATTCTCGGGATTTCCGTAGCATTTCCGTGGGATTTCCATGAGATTCCCGAGATTTCTGTGGGACTCCCAAGATTCCCGGAATCCGGTAATCCCATGGGAATCCCATAGGAACCCCGGAAATCCCATGGGAATCCGAGAATCCTGAATCCGCCGTTTCCCCTTTGCTTCTAACACTATTTCATTGATGAAATATATTTCAAGTTGATTCTGGTGCCACCGTCGAAATGATACAAGTACTGTTACAAACACTTGTCAGGTACGCTTACCAGTCGATAAAAAACAGACATCATACAAGAAAAATTACTTGCATTACTTCCGTAGCGATATCACAATCATTGCAAAGTGGCTTTGTTTAAAGAAGCAGCATCAGAACATGTCTTCTTTAATGCTATCTAACTACTAATCCGATTAGTAGAGTGTGAGGTATGGGTGTGGCAGTGAGCGAACAACAGATTAATATCCATTCGCACACTGACACTTTCACTCATACTCACATCCACTCACACCTACACTCCACACCTCGAATCCAGATCTACATTCTCAAGCATGTTTTACTACGTATTATTGTTCTGGTTCATGATCTAGAGAATATCTATCACATCATCAATGTAATGGATCATCAAGTAAAACTACTACTGTTGAAAATCTATATGCGTTAGATAATCATGCCATAAAAACAAAAGACAATGTCGGTCTATATAGCAGCCACATGTTATAAAATTGTTTTCAATTTGAATCTTTGATAATAAACGTTATATCTATCAATCATTGAAGATTCAGAGTTTCGAGAAATTTGTGTATACCTTTAAGATTTAGATTAATTATGTTCCTCTAAAATTTATTTTAATTAAAGAATTGTTTGTTTTGTTTTCTTTATTTTCTCTTTTTAGGAACAAAAACTGTTAGTCACTATATGAATTTGCAAAGTTTATTCCAGTTTCGACAAAGTACCACTTTGTATTGCAGATCAAGCACAACAATGCTATAAATAATTGACTGAACTTATTGAAGAACCAGTAGAAAATCAATCACTTACTGTTTCTTCTAATATGTGGCGTGATAGTTATAGGCTCTGGGTGGATATTTGAGAGTGAAACTTGTATTCGCTCACATGCCCATCCGCATCAATAGTCATAAATTACTGGTTATATGTTGTAGAGTAATTTTCAATAATCCGAACCTACATACTAGAATAGTTGTCGCCAGCAGTGGCACCAAGTAGTGTCATAACTGGCAACTAGCCTGACACTTCTACTAACCAAAGTATCGAGAAACAATCTTAACTGAAATGTAATTCAATGTGAACTATTATTTAATCTTTTCGAATGACGAGTAATAGCCGTTTTACCATCTTTTATTCGAAAAATGAATAAAAAAACTCCTGTCATACACAATTATATATATACATCTATGATTTTTATACGACGGCAATAGACAGGTACGTTTCAAATCCTCGATTATCGAGGTCGATTAGAGTTAGTCCTCGCACACTGAAATCTCTACTTGGAATATCACTCGAAAAGATTAAAATAAATATTCACATAGAATTTGAATTTGAGTTAAGACTGTGTCTCGATAGTTTCTCATTTGGTAACAGTGTCTGGTTAGTTGCCAGTTGTGACAACTGTCTGAGTTCAAATCTCATTCGAAACTCATTTTGTTCTCAGTGTACATCATTCTTTTCGAATGATAAATATCAGTTGTTTGCCATCGCTTATTCGAATACTGAATAAAAAACGTCTTGTCATACACATTGGTATGTATCAAAATGTTCAACATTTATCTTCTTTTCTTTCTATTATTAAACATTAGATTTCTTTCAATACTTAATTGATGTCAAACACAGATGAATGGTAAAACGAAATCTTATTTTCTTTGTTCGTATATTTTAATGAACATATAGTTATAATGATAATTTTCTAGTGACGCTTACATACATTTACAGCTTATCGATTTTCATTGAATTTATCTACTAGTTTTACTGTGCCATTTTGAAAAGAAAAACAAGAAGAATATCTAGTAAATTATGAAATGATTCAACAATTTTCTCTAGCCTCTTGTTGATGTTGAGTAACTATTGTTGATAGTAGTTCATAATGCATGACGTTTTCAATGCAGAAGTTGTATATCATAGTCTATATGTGCATCCACCAAAATAAATATATTCAGATAAGTGTGCTCAATAAAACTTCTTGCTATATTTTTTTCTTTCGTTATTCCCGCCGACTAAATACTTCAAATCTTTAAGATTAGATAGAGAGAGAGAAACAAGTCTGAAAAGCGTATTCTCGAAAGATTCGACCTCATCAAAGACTAATCATTCGGAATATGAGTGTTGGCGAGGTACTAAAGTGAAGTTCAACATCTCCACACCCACACCCTTAAGTGTGAAGAGCGCGATCTAAAAGGTAACTTATACATTATTTGCAAGAGTGAATTTGAACGAGAGAATAGGTAGTAAAACGAAACAAAATTGTGCGCACAGCTTATATTGCACATTTACGCATTATCAATTTTCAAATCATCTAAGTATTGACCTCGGTAACCCAATGTGAACGAAAAACTGCTCTTGACTATTCGTTATTTACATATACTTATTCAGCATGCAGTATACTTCACAAATCATGCGCACTAGTTTGATTGACAGTAAATAAGCAATGTTCTCATAGGATTATAGTAATAAGAGAGCAATCTTCTGTTTTTTTACGGTGTCTCGAATGTATTCTACGAGGTTTCATTGATTAAAAAGAAGTAATAGCCGGAGAAAAATAATGAGTTCCATTGATTGTCAAAAAAATCAACGAATAATCGCTTTCAATTCTATTGACATACACTATATGCGCAAATAAAAAGCTTGCAGGTAGACACAAAATCGTTTTCTTTTCAAACTTTCAGTCGGTAGTAGAGAGGAACGAAATAGTGGTCAGTAAGATTCTAGTCAATCTTTATTCGCAAACTACTATCAGCTAGTACGATTACTCTGCGGAAATATTTGCTAAATCATAGTAATCACATGAGAAGAGTTACTAGCCTAAAGAAGTGACTGGAAAACTGAAAAACCTGAATATCTCTGCGCAGCAAAGTAGGTAAGACAAAATTTCGGTTTTCGCTTGAAAATAATATATTAAAATCTCAATTTCGATTATGATATACTAGATTGATCTCTTAATTGTTAAGACTACTCCAGCACGTTCAAATTTTAAATTCATACGTTCTTGATTATCATTTCCTGCAAACCGATAGTGAATAACTGAGTTAGAGTTTTGCATCCTGACTCTATCTGATCCTTACTAGACGAGTAGAAGTAAGGTTTGAAGTACGACGTTGAAGATGCAAGAAAGATGAAAGTACAGAGAACCGCACGCGAGCAATGCTTTAAAGTATTCCTTTCATGACAAGTTTGGGATGAGAAAAATATCGAACATGAATTTGTCGTTTGATCTGTCGTGAGCACCTCGATTTTATTTTGTCTTGGTAGGGCCCTCGTAATAATAGAGCCAGCAATTTTTTACTTTTATGTAAAACACGACTCTTAACAATTATTGAAGTAAATAATCAGAAAAAAGAACTAATCTCTCATGTTACCGAGACTGTGACAAACATTTCGGCATGCTATCAGTTGCGCCTTGCCAGTAATCATGATCAAAACACAGAGGATCTCCTTGTACGATTAAAGTGTTCGTATCGTGTTTCACATTTTCTTTCGAATGGGATAGCGCTGAAAGTTTTTTTCTTCAACATCATTTTTTATAACTTTGATACATGACTGTAAATGCGTCTCTCCGAAGACATAGTATGATCGATATGAACATAAATTATTCGTACAGTTGTCGATTTTACTCTCCAAAATGGTCTCTACTAGATAGTACTAAATACAGAACAGGATGAGACACAAAGTTAGGTGGTAAGTTTTAAAATGTGAAATGCCATTGAAATTACAATATAATATGGGTAGTCATTCAAATAAAGCTTGGATATATATTTTTTCAGACATGGTTGGAATATGCCGCAAAATCTTGAAGTTTCAATAAATAGAAATACTTTCATTCCACAAACTAAAGACTCATAACAAGAGTCAGATGTAAAACGGTAAGTCCTCAGAATGAGACAAGTTTACTGTTTTGGTGTAACCTGAGATCAGATACAGCCGGCATGCTGCGTACAATAGGTCTCGTTGTTGTCAAAGCACGCGGGTAGCTTGTTAACTTTTTTACATAGACACATTCATATTGGTCTTCATCTTCTGACCACAAGCTTTGATATTGATCACTTGTTGCTGGAAAGTAACTTCTTCATTCATGAGAAATTCAATGAATACTCAAATGTTAAAGTGGAATCGAAGTATGGGTTTATTGAATCAATTAGGATGTGCACCTGTGGGAAGATGCCGATGGGTGGCTGGGTGGATGATGTTGTGAATAAACAAAAAGCTCCACACTGAACTCCGTTCACCTATGTTCATTCTTACTTTAACCCCCCAAATAGGTCTGAATTGTGCACCAATATGATTCTGAAATGCTTCGCTCACATCGATAGATTTATCTTGTTTTCTTGTTTCTAGATTTATATTTGCTAGATTTTGTGACAATACCGAATCGCAGTAGGCTACAGCATACAAGTGTACTTATCATCGTTCAGTAATACAAAGACAGTTACACAAGACACCAGACTAACCAAAACATTTAATTAGAACTCATGGAAACGGTACGACCGGCAATGCTAATAACAGTGACGATTCTGCGTATAATTTGGTTGCAGCCAATCAATGCCGAGTCCAATTGGGTACAACTATTGTTGAAGAGAGTGAATAGTGCATTTGTATCTAACCCTCAAACGCCACTATCAACTACAGCAACAACAACGACAACAACGACGGTGATTATACGAACAACGACGATGACTGTACGGCCAACGACAACAATCACACCAACAATGACAGCGACCAGACGAAAAACGAAAACAACCACACCACCAACAACGACAACCACACGGCCAACGACAACAAGGATAACAACAACGACCGCACGGCCAACGATAACAACAACGACCGTACGACCAACGACCGCACGGCCAACGACAACAACGACGACCGTACGACCAACGACAACAACAACGACCGTACGGCCAACGACGACCGTACGGCCAACGACAACAACGACGACCGCACGGCCAACGATAACAACAACGACCGTACGATCAACGACAACAACGACCTTACGACCAACGACAACAACGACCGTAGGACCAACGACGACCGCACGGCCAACGACGACAACAACGACCGTACGGCCAACGACAACAACGACGACCGCAGGGCCAACGATAACAACGACGGTGACTGCAAGACCAACGGCAGCAACTACACCAACAACGACGGCGACCACACGATCAACAACAATAACATTAACAACCACACTGCCATCAATAACAACGGTAACTACGGTGAGACCATCGATTGGAACAACAACAACAACTCAAAGGGTAACAACCACAACAAACATCATTGGAATGACTACCACATCAGTGTCACAATTCACTACCTTTCAAAGCCAGGCGCTTGCTGCAACAAATATCCATCGGGCATATCATTGCGCACCGAATATTATTCTCAATGCAACACTCAATAGTATTGCTCAAAGTTATTCAGAGCAACTTGCTGCGACTAAAACCTTCGTTCATAGCGGTAACGGTTATGGAGAAAACTTATGGGCGATTAGTTCGTCCGGAACGCTCAATATCACTTTAATGAATGGTAATTAATCATTTTCATTCTCAGAATGAATTATACAGAGACATTTTTTCTTTGAACAGGCTCTTCACCAGTCAATTCATGGTATAGTGAAGTAAGTTCGTACAATTGGGCCTCACCTGGCTTCACCTCGGGAACAGATCACTTTACCCAAGTCGTCTGGATTTCTACCACACAATTTGGTATTGGGATTGCTTGCACTAGTGATAAGAAGGCATGTTATGTCACAGCAAATTACTGGCCGCCTGGCAACTATATCGGAGAGTTTGCAACGAACGTCAAAAGCGGACCACCACCGTGTTCGTAATAAAGAAAATATAGATTTATTCGCTTATTCCATTACTAGAAACTATTTCTTTCTCAGTAATAAAACTCATTTATTACACTCACTGATATTCTTTTATCGCTGTAGCTTTAAAAATGCCGTATTTATCCGAACAAAAGCTTGTTCAAAGTCGCTGTCCAGTGGGTTCTTTTATAATCTTTGAAAAATTCATTATATATTATTATCCACAGCCAATAGCACGTATAAAACAAAACATTCATGCATATAGCAAGCAACGATTGTTCATAAAGAAATGTGTGTGGAGCATAATGTTAGCATATTTTCTATAATAACATTAGAAATCTGGACAGTAGACTGTTTGATATCTTTGAAAGAGCTCTAAAATTTGAACTTACGTTCGATTGCTTTTCGGCCTTGTTAATTCGAGTTTCTATTGATTGCAGGAATCAAGTTTGACTTTTGTTTGAAAGTTTAAACGATATTCAGGGCTTAAATTATTGTAACTGTATGAATATTGAAGTGTTGTTGCTGCTGAATTGAAAATCCAAATGAATGCTGAGGTGTCATATTCATATTGCCGAAATATATTCTGTCTCAACAAGATTTATTGACGAAACACAGGAAAAATGAAAAATATTCACGGACAGTGTACGCACGATATGCGTATTTCCGACTGTATGTATCATAGTCTAGTTGAGTAACTAACTAGTCTTCTTTTGCCTGATTGTAAACTCAAACCTGATTAAAAATCAATAATTTCACCACTAAACGACTATCTAAATTTAGTTCATGCTAATTGAACTGTATTGAAGTATTGTAATGCTTAGTTTGAATGTTATGAATTGCTTTTTAAACATTTCAGACGTTACGGTTCCTTACTTAAAAGCTAAATTTTCAAATTTATTTGGAACATTTTTTCTCCTTCTCAAACGGACATATCATAATGAATAGTTTAACCAGAGGTTGTGATTGTGGATCTAAGTGAAGATATGATATACGCTCATACATACACTCATGTCCTATCGAAATTTCATTATTCAGTTTGTTCGATATTTCCAAATGCTTTCGAAACCATAGTAACTTATCGGCATTTTTCGATGAAAATTCACTTGAAAAAAATTGAAGAAACAATTTTACTTATATTGATATATTTTAGAAAATAAAATATAATTTTTTCTTGTCTTCCGGTGCAAAAGTATTGATTTGCCTCAAAATTATCATAGAAACCGTTTATTCACAACACATAGTTTTCACTGTAGAAACGCAATCTTCAAGTCTTAAGTATAATATTCGTAATTAGCGTGAAACAGCTGTCTATTGCATATGTTTTTTAGTTCACTGTAATAAATTTGGGATACATCTTAAGTAAATTAAAGTAGGCATAAGTCATTTAAATCGATACTTGATGCAAATCATACTATACTTGTCGAATAGATGAATCTCTCACACTCATTGATTTCATTCATTGCTGTTATGTTATATTCTTGCACAGTTGCTTTTGTCATGTTGGCAGTTTCTTTGTCTTTCCTTGTACAGTAATATGAGTTTATCAATTTATATGCAATCAATAGCATCCTGCTCAATCGTACCTACTAAAAGAAATAAAATGCATTTATGAAACCTTAGTAGAAATTTTAGTTATTGGTACTTTTCATAGCGTTTTGTTTCGGGTACCAATCAATTCTCTCTTTTTGTCAATTACAAAATATGATCAACGCCCGCTTCTACCACGTCTTACTTATGGACTCTTTGGTCTAGCATGTAGACTTAAGACTGTCATTCTCATAAGTGATTTCTTTTACAATAACATTGTAGCATTTGATATAAGTTCAAAGCTAAGAGAACATTCCAAAACAAAAATTATAGACAGTTCTATTCGGTTTGTTCGTAGCCGATGCACGCCTAACTTTTCAAAGCTTCATCCGCCGCTATTCGAATACTGAGTGCGTATGGTTTTGCTACTTAGCTATTGAGTTTTTTACCTCAAAAAAGAAGACAAGGCGAAAGTATGCACATTACTAGCCAGAGTATACTACTAAAAAAAGGCATAATCATTTATCAATGGATGAGTTTTACTTCAGACATTTCACTAGATTTTATCCAAGATTACTATACCCAGTGTATGTTGACCAGGTTGTTACCTGTTGATAAACAAGTATTTCTGGATTGCTTGATCGTATCTATATATAAAAAATACTTAAAACCTGGTTGAAATCGATTTTCGTGAGAAAAATCACAAAAAATCGATTAAAAGTAGCATATTTTGGTTAAATTCGACTATACATTCGATTATAATCGATTTGACTCCGTAAAAATCGATTGTTTTTCAAGAAATCGAAATAATCGATTAAAATTCTAATTAATTTTAATAAATTAATGAAGTAATTTCGCAATCTCAACTAAAACAATTTATATACAAGTTCCAACTTTAGTATATTTGTCGATCTTTAGCTTGGTGACAGCTTCATAGTTTATTACCGCAAGGAATCCAAAACAATCATGGAAAAATTAGGATTCCGCGTTGAAATATCGAGAAAAGTGCCTATCTTCGATGCACATGATTAAAATCGATTATCAAGTAAGTATAGATTAAAATCAGAGAAGAGGTAAGAATAGACTAATATCCATTAAAAAATAATAATAGGTTAAGATCGGTTTAGAGGTTGCCATGTAAAAAAGATAGAAAAAATCCGAATTTAATCGACTTTTTTCTATGTTCTTTTTTACATGGGTAGTTTTCTCCTTTTAGGTAGCAGACATAAATAAGGCATCATCGGACTGTATTTATTGAATTCGATTGATCTACATATAGAGACAAAGCTGGTTTCTTTTGGAATGGCAATGATTGTTCTATTTGTAATCAGCGTGTATCCACCGAACTCAATGCGTGTTTTGTTGGATTTAATCATTTCTACCATAGACAAGATTTATTTTAGTTCGTTAGGAGAGCATGATGTGAATTAGAAGCTAGTGATAATGAATAGATGTTAACTATTGACTACATCTAAAAATCGACATGTAATTAGTAAAGACAAGATTTGGTGTTACAGTCTATGCTATTGATCTCTAGTCAATGTCCTATTCAAATGCTGCATTTGCGTAGCCAATAGGTAGAAATTTCGCGACATCAGATAGATAATGAAGAAACATATTTTTGGAAGTTAATGCCAACACTTGGAATACTAGTTATCTACGACATTGATGCTGCTCTATGAGCAGCTATTTTGAGTATAACTGTAGCGGATCTCTTCTTCATAATTTTTGTGAGAGTTTTGGTATAGATTGTTTCAAACATAACCACAAAAAGGTGTTAATCTCAAACGGAAAATCTGATCAATCTAGCATTATATTGCCATAGATGGATTTTCAAAGATTATTACATCTACTCAATAAGCATACTAGGATTATTTTTCCTTCTATTGGTTTGACTTGTCTCTTTTGGCGTTGCAGTCATTTATATAAGATTTAATAATTAAATGAGTGATGCCAAAAACAAAATACGAACTACTTCCTAAATGCTTGTCATCGTTCTTCGTTTAGTCTCTCATTTCTTGTCAAATAAAGGTGTTACATTGATTACTATCAGACAAAAAGCTTTTCAATAATAGCTAGACTATAGAATCAAATATATGACTTTTTTGTTTCACTTGAAAGAGAAAAAAAATAAAACAAAACAAAACAAAACATGCCAGAGATGTTTGTAGTCAAAAGAATGAAGCAACTTTTGAAACAAAGTCTGAGTGTCTTCAATGAACTTGTGCTTGCCTCTAGCGAATTGAATCAAGAAATGAGAAGATTATTTTTGTCATCCTGTTAACAAGCATTCATAGGTTGCTCTAACACCGACAACAAGCGCACTTAGCGAGGCCTACACTACAAGTGTCTCAATGAAATAGTTTCGAGGCAGTTCTTGGAAAACTCATCGGAAAGAGTCTTTTGATTTCCCAGAAAAAAGTGTTGAAACTACAATCAGTTGAAGCATCAATTATGATTTCGAATTCAGAGAAGCACAACATACTCAAAAAAGACGAATGTTTCTGTCAGAGTTCAAAACAGCGATGTCGCATGAGCTAGATTGGGTAAGATTAAGTCTATTCATGGATCAATATCAATTAATTATGAACTGCAATCCAAACCATGTTTTATTAGTTGAGAAGTCGATGTCTCGTTATGAATGGGCCACCCGTAGGTTAGTTCACATGTTAGTCTTGGAATCGATGAGATAGATTTTGATTAAGGTCATAAGTAGCATAGTTTCATATGCTTTTTCTTCATTGGAATGATACTCACGCTTTGAATCTCAGATAGTCCCTTCTATTGTCAATGCATGGAAGTTTTTAGCGTAATCTCTATGGAGATTAACACACGAAATATCGTAGAATCGCTTAATAGTTTGAACGAAATTATAAGTAAAACACTAAGATAATCTCCATAAATGGTGTGATTCTGGCGTACATTATTGAAGAAAGTGCGATAATTTAGATTTGATGGCTTATTGCTTTCACCGACTACTGCCTAATGGAGCAATTTCGATGGATGAACGATTATGGAAGAAACGTTGCCAATCAAATGTCTCTGACAAGTTTATTGTTTTACCTAAAAAATACTCAGAAACACAGTATAAGTTTGCTTGCATGTGTTGATCAATAAAGTTTTGATTTGATTTTGTTCATCTATGATCGATATTCTCAAAGCAGTCTCATTACGTTAAGTCGCTTATAATCGATTCTAATTCACAACTTCAATGCTATTAAATTTCAGTTATCAGGCTTCACTTCATTCAATGAAAATGAGCTGAATGTTACATTGATCCGTCTAGAAAAAGTACACTGGAGTTATTTGATGAGAATCTAATGACTAAAGATTTATTTCGATATGAAAGTCAATTTTTTTTTCGTTCTGTTTCTCATAGTCGCAACTTTAGGTCACATGGAGAACAGATTCTCGACTCGTATTTAATTCATTGATAGCAGTAAATTCAAAGTGGATTCATTTCTTTGAAGGCCAATATGCTTATTCTTTCTTGGCTGAATCGAGCTTAGTTTTTCATACATGTAAATATATTGTGTACTAGTAATCTAAAGTGGAGATAAAAAGTTTATGAGAAGTTCCACATGCGGAAAAAGAAAACTTTTGGCGTCAATGTTTCATTGCAGAAAACGAATGACTATAACTGAGAATTGATAAATTGAAATTCTGTGTCGTAAATTGGATAAGAATGCCGAAGAAAGATTAGATGATCATAAATGAATTGGAAACAATTGATTATCCGAGATGCTCATCAATCATCTGCAATTTGAAGCAAAAGAAAATTGTCGTCCAGCTCTGAAACAGTTCTATGCATAATATATATTCAGCTAAACTGGCCATAGTATGTTGAAATACAAGGAAGAAAACTTTTTTTTTCTATAAAAGTTTAATTCCGAAAAGATGAAAAACAAAATAAGGTTTTTCTAGGTTCAGCCAAGTTTTAATATAGATTTCGCCTGTTTTGGTCGTGATAACGTGAGTTTTCAACTTTCGAAATCTATTGATCAGTTAGTAGATGGAAAGTACATTACTATTATATGCTCGAATTTGTCGAATTTGCTAAAGAAGAATATCAAAATGCGATTTCATCCGTATGAAAAAGCCATAGAAACCTTCCAAAAAGATCTTCTCCCAATCATACGGATTCGACTTTTTCCTAGAATAACATTGGTCTCGTCTACTTGACCATATGTGATTATTCGAAAGCACTTACATTTTCCGAAAAAGCTCTAGAGAAATAGCAAAACGTAGTATCTTACAATATCTATAATTTCATGAAAGTCCTGCCGTTTTACGAAAAAACAATAGAGATCCAAAAAATATCACTTTCTGCATACTATCCTGACTTAGTCAAGTCCTACAGGTGTTTAGCTACGGTATATGATAATATAGGCAAGTTTATGAAATCACTTGAATATTATGACACAATAATCGACATACAGAAAAAATTCTTTCCACCAAATCATTCAGATGTGGCTACCTCATATAACACCATTGCTGAGGTGTACAGAAACATGGGAGAGTACTTGAAAGTTCTTTCATATAATGAACGAGTGCTAGAAGTGAAACGAAAACCTCTTGTTCCCAGTGGTTTGGATTTCGCTTCTTCTTACAGCAAATTCAAAAGCACTTTCATTTTATGAAAAAGTAATGGAAGTTTAGAAAAAAAAATTGTTTCCAATCATCCAGGTATGGCTGCTGCTTATATAAACGTGGGTATTGTTCGTTGCTGTATGAGTGACTATTCGAAAGTCATTTCATGTTATGAAAAATCGATGGACATCCAAAAAAAAAAATTCTTCTGTCTAATCATCACGATTTAGTGTCTTGCTACTACAACATCAGCGTACTGTATCATAACATGGAAAATTTTCCTGCGGCTCTGTCATATCTTAAACACTGTTTCCAAATTCTGGACGTATCGCTGGAAAACAAGAAATTCGATTTATGATGTTCCGTATGATTGTTTAGAAATATTATATCAAAGTATGGACGATTACACAATAGCATTGAACTTATATCAAAAAGCACTTGATATCCGTGAACATACACTCTCTTCCAAAAATTCAGATCTAACTACTACACACAACAGCATCGGTGATATTTATCGGTTAATTGATCAATATGAAATAGCTGTGTCATTTCACCGAAATTTATTATGACAAGGCACTGAAAATTCGTGAGAAACTACTCCCAAAAGTTCATCTTGATTTGACTGTTATGCATCATAGTTCGGCTCAAATTACCGTACTACTCGAGAGTATTGTTCGACAATGAGACATGAAAAACTCGTTATTGAAATAGCTCAACAAAAATTACCCGAAAACCACTCACATCTTTTGAGCTATAGAGAGACACTCGAAAAAATTTTAAAAAAATTGTAACTTATTGATTTAACTGTTTGCTTGCTATTAAAATGCTCAGATAATACAATAAATAGGTCAGTTGATTATTTAATGCATATACAATTTTCGTGTGATAAGCAATTTTCATGTACATACACAAAGAACTCTTTCAAATATCTTGAGGATAGGTTGTTTGTTCTCTCTTTACTGAATGCGTACCTCGAAGCACACGATTTCATTAAGTGTACCAAAGGCATCTAACGCTGTTGTTTTCATGATTTGTATTGTTTAAGTAGCTTAGATATCGAAACATATATAATTATTTTCTTTTTGATGCTATGAAACAATGGCCACAAAGGTCATTTTCCTTCTATTGTTTATAATTGACGCGCTATCGGTACAAATGTGAAATGATATGCAATTGCTCTCCTACTATGATCATCGACACCTAATCACATTCAAATAATAGGATATGAAAGTCGGTGTGGATACATATTTCAATCACGTCCTCACACCCTCACCCAAACTCGTTCCCCTAATGTCACCACGACGTTCTTCAAATGTTAAAAAATTATGTTATGCATTGCACTTTTCTGGAGTTTGTAAGGAAAACAAAGTATATTTAATTATTCTTCTTTTGTGGAGACTGTAGTAATTGATAAAAATCCAGATATTCTTTACTACTTTATATTGCATAGGCCTCTTTACGATGGCAATACAATCTCTATTGCCAGCGATTTGCAGATGGCCACTATTTCATGGTTTTGACTTGGGTGTGTATTGTGGCTGTCTGTCTATGGAATACTGACCTACACCTTGCCTAAATATGTTCACAGTTGTATGACGTTAATAATTGCTAAAATTTTCTCAATCAAACGAAATTTTTTCGGACATATTATTTGTATCGAACGGATGAATTAGAAACTAGTAGTAGCCATTAGGAGTTTCGGTGATCGGTTTTAAAGTAGTCCAAAAATGTCAGCTCGAAATTTCGAGATGAAAAATTTTAGCTTTAGACCTGCGATGAGAAATTGTGAGCTTAATATTTCAGAGCTAGAATTTTAATGATGAATAAAAATTTATCTATTGAACGGTGTGAGTGTGAGTATAAATAAAAAGGAGACCCACACCCATACCCACTTAATGCTTTTTCAGGCATAAAAAAATTAGACACTTAACTCAATGTATCAAGAAACAAAAAAGTATGTCTTTTCTCTATACTCATTCACGATTTCTATAAAATAGAATTAATATTTAAGAAATTAGAAAAATTCTCAAAGAAAACATATTTTGCATATATTTCCAACTTTTAACATGATTAGTTTTTAAAAAAATCGACTGTTTTTCGTTAAGATTTTTGTGTTAGATTGAACATCCTTCTTTTTGTCGATGATTTTGCGATTGATTATTTGATATTTAAATCTTTGGGTAATTCATTAATTGGATCGGTAAATATAAGCCATTTTTCTCTTGGTACGTCTTTGAATGCTTTTAAAAATCGTTTATCATTTTTAGTTTCGCCTTTGACTGCTCGAATAAAAATTTTGTGTATTCGTTTCGGATATTTTCGTGCGACAAATGCATAAATTTCTGGATCCTGTTCACCTGAATCTCCAATTAATACGAGTTTACGTAACGAGTTAAAAATAAAATAACGTAAATGATTAATTTTATGCATTCTTGTATCTATATAATGGATAGTTAATAAAAATAGAATATGAAGAAAAAAACCTAAGGTCAAATTTACCAGTAGAATGAACAAAATTATAGATCGATACAGAAGACCAAAGAAAGTGACTGTTAAATCGAAGACAATACTTTATGATTGATAATACAAGAAATTATTGATTCTTACCGCATATGAAAAGTACCATCAGGAAACTTATGTTTGTCAATAAAATCTTTCGTCACTGCATAGAGTTGATCTGGCATTGCGCTCAGATAATGAAACGAACAATTGTACTTATTTTTCCATCCATGATATACTTGTGGCATTCCTACAAAATACTCCAAACAAGAAATAGAATTTAAATTATAAATTGTATTTCATATCTATTATAGTTTAATTACATACATAATACAACACACTTACCTTCTACAACACGAAAACTGTGAATGAATGTATTAGCTGCTAATCGAATTTTATCAAGTACTTCACTAATTTTAATTGTATCATCAATATCAGATATAATAGATAATCCATATCGTTGTAATAAATGAATTTTTCCTTCCCATAAATCAGCATTATCTCCAACTGCTTTATATGTTATAACTTGATCCTTTTTTGACGTACTCTTTAATTTTTGTACGTCTACATCCGACATAATGAATGATGTACGAAATTGTCCATCACTATCCGTTTTTGTTGTAAAATTATTATTTTTTCCAATTATAATCAAAATTTCTTCATCTTTTTTACCTTTCACCATAAAAGGTTTAAGACGATCACGTTGAAATGTATCATTGAAATAGACAATTTGTTCGGGTGTAGCAAGTAGACGTGCAATACGTTCACCTAGTGTTGACGATGATTCACCTAAGAATTTATTACGACTTGATCTTTTAAAACGCCAACCATATACATTTAAACGCCAATTACCATCTTTACGTTGAAATCCAGTATTAGGAAATAGAATCATTTCTTCATAACTATAACTCTTCTTTGTAGTACCTACTTTTCCGGCTATTACTTTTCTTATTTTGTTTTTAATCCTTTCAACAAATTGAGTTTGACTATCAGCTATGATACCAATAAAAATTAAGAATATTAATGACCAAAAGGGTGGCAAGACCATCATACTTTGACAATAATCGAAATGGATAAACTGAAATACAATGGTACAATATAGAGAAATATTCTTTTTCTTTCTGTCTAGAAAAAAGCATACAAGAACAGTTAACTATTTATCAGAATATCTTCCAGAAATGTTCTGAAAATAGAACATATGTTGAGTCTGGATAATGTCTGTGGGAACAGTATATTGATAAACCATATTTACTTGTCAATGTGACATGCTGTTTGATTTCTTTATTTCTCGTTTAAAATAATGTACGGTCTAATTTTGTATATCTAATATTTAACTAATATAATTAATGATTTATTCAAATGAGAATTTGTTCTTTTTACTTTATATATATCGATATTTTAGCTGCTTTATCGTTTCTTCTCTGGATATGTGAAATATAATGCTTAATGAGCTGTCGTTAGTAACTTCGTTTGACAAACTAATTGTACTTTTCTGACTGTTTCTTTTANGATTTAAATCCGAGAGTTATGTGTACTTCAAAAAGTGAATTAGACAGATGAGTCATCCTAGAATGTGTGGACATCAAAATTATCCTGGCAAATCTTTCCTATAAACACTTGACTTCTATTGGCTATTGCTCACCCAATATGACTTGGGGGCCGAATACAGCTCAGATTCGAATTCGTCGTCTTGATTTACCCTAAGAAAGTCGTTTTTTCTATCACTTGATTTCTATTGGTTACCCCTCAACCAATAGGATGTCGAGGTAAGTGGAGTACAGATTCGAATTCTCCAGACCAGAAAATCTCAAAGTATCATCTCTGTGATCAGAAGATTGAGCTCTAATTGTGGATCAATTAGAGTGTGGACGAAAACAGAAGCAATTTCCGTTTAGTCATCTTTGAGTTAATCTTCTTGTTTCTTTATGTTTTATATAGCATTTTGTAGCTCGTGAAATTCTCTATCAAATAGTATATAATAGGTGGGGTCTTATTTGATTATGATAGTAAAAGTTTTTTACGAAAGTGAGAATAGGTCGAATTTCCTCTAGGAAGCCATAGGGAAAAGGACTATTTTTCTAATAACTCAGGAACGGCTCGGCCAATCATGCTCATCTTCGAACTCGACCGAGATATTGTTAAGACTGAACTGTGTAGAAAATTTCATCGCAATCGAACTCTCCTTTCAAAAGCTATTGTGTAAACGGACGGACGGCCGGACGGCCGGATACACTGACCGATCCTAGAATGTACTCACTTTTTGAGTACACAAAAAGTATAGAGATAGGAATCGTTTTTGAAAAAAAGGAAACATGGTTATTTTCCAGGGTACCTTAAATGACCATCCATAGCGCCAACACATATCAGATTTCCACTTGTCTTTTATTTAAACTCTACGATCATCATTCACACGCGTCTTTTCCGTGCCTAATTAATTTTTTCTCGCTCAGTAGCTCGTCTAAAATTAGTTTATGTAGTGCACGATCACCAAGCACAACTACATCCAAGGGAAGAATCTATGTCTCAACAATGGAACAGAAAAATCTAGAACATGAAAACTGAGAGAGGTTACAAAGTTAGAAAGAGAAAAATCCGAAAAATCTTGACTTTTGACATACAAAATGGATTTTATAGTGCGCGATTTTTTTTGCAAATGTTTGTGTCCTGGACTTTTTTGAATTTTGAGACAATATCGAAAAAGTACTGTGAAATTATGGAATTGCCCACATTCAAGAGGTTCTCTATTGTGGACGGGACCGGAAAAAAGTGTCCACAGTTCAGAATAGAGAGGTGCCCATATTAGAGAGGTTTTACTATATATATATATGAATAGAATTGTTTTATTTATCTAAGAAACAAAAAAACGAAATGAATTTAATAAAGATCGATCGTTTTGAGATATATATATGATTATTGGTTTTATTTATTGAATAAATAATAATATTTATAAATAAATGACGATTTAAGTGATTGAGAAAAATCGATTGATTTTATTTGTATTTATTATGTCGAATAATGATATAATGAAATTAAACAAATAAATAATATATTATTATTATTGAATAGAATAGATTTTTATATAGAATTTAATTGTTGTTTATGATTATTAGAAAATGAATGAATATTAATTTGTCTTTGAAATGTGATCGAATTAATTTTGAATAGTTTGTTTTAAAAAAAAAACTACAAGGTTTAATAAAATATACCAATATCTTGTTTCGATTGATGATTACTATATTGATATAAATAATTAATTGTTTTTCATGTTGAATTGATTTTATTATCAATTGAATATTGTCGTTTTATATAATTAACATTAATTAAAGAATCTGATATTAATGATGATCGATCTGGACGATCAATATTTGAATTATTTTTTAAATGAGATAGACGTTTTTTGTTTTTCATTTCTATTTGATAACGATAAAACACGTCGTTTACGATCATTATTATTGATTAATAATTTCGTTGTTATTTATGAGATTATATATATGTACAATATAAGAAAAGATTATTATCTAAAAATGGAAAAATTCTTGAAATAAATTCCATCAAGTTTTACGCTAGTTGTATTTAACATACAAATGGATATTTATGTTAACCAATAAAATAAGTAAAAATTAATTTTGTGATTTTGTATGTGGATATTACTATAGTTACATAAATGAGATATGGCGATGAAGAAGAAAGAAAAAGAAAAAGAAAAAGAAAAAGAAAAAGAAAAAGAAAAGAAAGGTATGCTTATACTCGACTGGTCATATGTATTTGATAAAGAACAACTTATTGATTTATATATATGGCTTGATATTATACCATTTAATAAATTAAAAACAAAAATAGAAAAAGATTTTTCAGATGGAGGTATTATTATTATTATTATTATTATTATTGATCTATAATATATTTGTCAATCTTATCTTCAACATTCCGAATGTTATTTGTGCTTCTTCTTCTTTCAGATCTTAATTCACAATTATTTTCTTTGTTTGTTTTTATTTTCTTTTTCGGATTTTTTTCTGTATTTTTAAATAAAAAAAATGTCTTGGGATATTGAATTGGATGATCAATTATTACAAGATCTTTATGCATGGATTGATCAAATACCATTAAGTCGACCTAAAAAACGTATTGAAAAAGATTTTGCTGATGGTGGTAAGCTTCTTTTTTTTTTAATTTTTATTTATTTTTATTTTGTTTCTTCTTAATATCACTTGTGTTTTTTCTTTATTTATTGTCAATTATCTAATATAATCATTTACTTTTATTTTCTTATTCATTATTTTATTTTTAGTTATGGTAGCCGAATTAATCAAATATTATTTTCCTAGTTGGGTAAATGATTATAAAAAACAAAAAACAAAAGAATTTTATTTTAATTATTTTAAAATGAATGATTAACATAGGTCGATTTACACAATTATGCAGCTGCGAATAGTACACAACAAAAATTAATTAATTGGGGACTTTTAAATAGGTAAATTAAATTAACTAGAATAAATATTATTCATATTAATTAATCAATAGTTAATATGTTATTTAAAATGAAAATAAATAAATTATTATTTATTATATTCGAAAGAAAAAACTCAATAATAAACATTATTTAAAACATATTAATATAAGATAAATTCATAAATCTGTATGGTTCGATAATCTATTCTCAAAGAGTTTTATTTGTTTAACTGAGAAGAGGCATTGATTCAGAAAAAAAATAATAACACTAATATAAATAGTTTTCACTGGAAATATTCCTTAATAAATGTAAATTATATTCATGATATTGTTTAATATATATATAATTGAGAGAGAAAACTTTTTTTCTTGAATTATTAAACTTGAAAGAAAGAAAGAAAGAAAGAAAAGAAAAACTCGTCTATTTTTCATATGAGGATAGAAGAATAAATTCTATTCGTTTTGATTGAAATATTAAAGACAATATTATTATTATTAAATCTATATATAAATGAAAGTTGAAATTGATTTTATATGATAAATGAAACAGTTATTTATCAATTAAACAAATATAATTCTTAGTTAATTGTTATATAATATAATATTCTTTTCTTGTTTATTTATTTTTTTGACATTATCGCTATCTGAGCAAAATCTATTGAATATAAACATCAATAATCAATTATTGAAATGATCATATTCATATATCGAGTATTATCTATCTATCGTCAATTAAATTTTTAATTATAATCACTATTAAATCAATGTTAAAAATCAACTTTCAACAATAAAATAATAAACAAGTTATTTTATTTAATATAAAATCTAATAAGAAACTTTTTTTTTCTTTACTTTTATGATAAAGTTACAAAGAAATATTGAAATTGATTTTAAAAAATTTAGAAAAATCTTCTATCGATTTGGTCTTAATGTTCCCGAACAAATAATGCGTGGTATATGTCTTGGTCGAGCTGGACTTATTGAAATATTTCTTTATAATTTACGAACAAAAATTGATGAGTATGTTTTTTATTCTCAACATTTAATTATATTAATTATTTATTCGACTATTTCATAATTATATTTTACATAATTAAGATTTATTTGAAAAAAAAAAGAAAAATTAAATTCGAATAAATAATCTGTCTACTATTTCAGTTATTTATACGGAATGGAAACAAATCCTAGTGATCCTCAATATCGGTTTGTTTTATTTTTTGTTTTATTTTCAATATTTAATTATTATTTGTTTGTCAATGTAAATTAACAATTATTTGTTTAAATATTTATAACATAATAATAATATACTAATAGAAATCTAATGATATTATTAGCTTATTTTAAGGGATTTATTATTTTATTTATTAAATATAAAATAAAAATATTAGTTTTTTTTTTTATTTTAATTTAGTGTTATTCATCAAAAAGTAAAAACAAGTCAAACGAATTCCATAACACCTCGACAACGTCAACAATATTCACCAATACTTCAATTAAGTAAATATCATTGTCAATATTTATTATTTAACTAAACATATTATATATTGATGAAGAAATTTTTAAAAATTTTATTTTATATAATCCTTATTCTTTAATTTT